AATTCAGCCAGTCCCCAGTCAATGAGACGCAACTGAAACATGACATGAAACTCTGTCTGTCTGTTTGTCTATCTGTATAAATAATGCTGTAATGCTATAATGCTGCATACATGCTAATGATAAGTATAAATGCAGCAACTTCAGTGGCTTATTGAAACTTTAAACCTCCAAGCAAGACTCTGTCTTAAGCTTACATTCAAATGTTCCTTTTTTAGAACTACGCAACATTACTTTATACTTTGATTGTTTTTAATAATTGTTTCTAACATATTTCTATCTAAAAAAATCAATGTGCTGTTGATTCTCATGTGGATATTAAGCTGTTTTGACATGGTTACCAAACACTGATTACCTTTCTGTGCTCATGATCAATCATGATGTTGTGTGGTTTGACATCTCTGTGCATAATACCCATACTGTGACAGAAATCCAAAGCCTAGAGACATACACAAACATGAGATCACATCAAAACCTATTACAGGAATTAACATGATTTACAGGAACGACGATACAGAACAACAACTAACAAATGACTTTAAATCTGATGGATCTAACGCCCTAGACTGTCTATGATTTCCTGCATATTTCAAAATGTAAAATGCTAATTACAGTATGGGGGAAAGACAAGTAAATAACCTCATTCCGTTTTCCCTTTTTTACACAAATTGTAATGTTGAATTCAACCTCTAACCAAAATGTTCTTACTAAACTGTAAGAAAGAAATGCCAAACAAACATTTCATTACTTATTTAATTAATGGGAAATATGCATTTATAAATAAGCTAGTCTCTGGTGAACCTTTTTTAAAAGAGGTACTACAATTCTCACCTTCAGAATCTCATACATGTAGAAGCGAATGTCATAGTCTGTCAGTGTCTGATACAGTTGCTGATGAAAACAAAGCAAAGATGGAACTAATTACATAACAGGTTTTTGAGATTATTTGAGATTAAGATTAAGGTTTTTACCTTAAAGTCTGTGTTGTTCACATGTTCAAAAACTAAGGCAGGTGTTCTGGACTGCAATGTGTCCAGACAAAAGGGGTTTTAATTTCTTAGGTAACAGTAGAACAAAATAAATACACTTAAGTGCTAAAATCAATTTTTACAGTATAATTTGATTGTTACTTTTGTATTATGAATATCACAACCAGCAAGTGTTCTGAATACTGACCACTGGGTCTTTGACGATGTCCAGGAGGGT